AGTTCTCATGTTTCAAAGCAAGAGCCGAAAACTTCAATATAATTATTTGAATTAAATTGAATTAAAGTGATGAAACAGAGCTTGGTACTTTAATTCAATTTAATTCAAATAATTATATTATATGTATATTTAATAATATCACATGATGTAAAAGCCCGCATCTACGAACACAAAAAAGATTTGCGTTTAGACAATCCTTCAAACTCCCTCCTATTACACAGGAACAAAACTGGCCATAAATTTCTTGATACTAATGTCACCATAATTAAAATGTAACGTAATTCCTTAACAGGAAACAAATCTTCAAAGCTTAATAATAATATCATTGCCAACTATTAACACACGTCTAAAACATATTACATTTACTGAATCCATTCTTAAAGAATCCAACTTAATTCTATCTAATACAGACAATACATGCATAAAACATTCCCATATCAACAAACAACACCAGCAGATATGTACTCTATTGGACATACACGACTGACCAATCAGAATCAGTCTTCACAAAAGGGAACACATTAGAGCTTCTTCCACAAGAAATACGCACATACACAATTATGAATAAACTAACAGACATATTAGAATTATCTACGATTATAATGCACGTGATACATGACTGACCAATGAAAATCAAAACAAAATTGAAAATACCAAAATGTTTTTCTTTTTACCACTTATTTTTCAATCTCTGACAAAGCTTTAATAAAAGTGAAATATTTTATGTTGATTAACGTTTTCTATTTGTTTTTTATGTTATCACCCTGTAGGATTCCAGTCCGTATTTGATATATATGAATAAAGAGAAAGCTTAGACGACGCGTTTCCTCCTCTGATGGACTTTATCAAGGAAAATGTAAGGATTTTATTTTGCAACAAGTATTTATAAACAAGATTAAAAAATATTGTTAGTTTTTCGAACATTTAAAAATTTAAGAAACGCTCATGAATATTCATCAGGTTATCTTTAGCCTAGCTAAAATGACGTAATCTAATATCTAATAAACAAATTGCAATTAATATTTAAATTATTTTACTTTGGGACTAACCTTTGTATTATATACGTTAAATTATTCTCTGTATTATATATTTTAAATAACTTTTGTTTATAAATACTTGCTGCAAAATATACCTGTGCAACCGACTCCCAAGGGGATGCTTCCCCGAACACTGAAATTATAACCTGTTCATGCCTAGGGTTAACCAATAGTGTTCCCATATATCTACATAAAATTTGCCTCTTACTCTGTAACTTTTTACATCGAGTGGCTCCCGGGCCTTGTAGAGGGTAAAAAATCTCCTTACATTTACCTTGAAAATGTCCATCAAATTACGAAACGCTTTGGCTAAGGTATGTTTTAGTATTGTCGTTATTTATATTGCCTTTTTACTGCTGTCTTTATTTATATTGTCTTTTTAGTATTGTCCTTATTCATATAGTCTATTTACTGGTCCCTTTATTTATATTGTCTTTTTACTGTTGTCTTTATTTATATAGTCTTTTTACTGTTGTCTTTATTTATATGGTCTTTTTAATGATTCCTTTATTTGTCTTTTTACTGTTGTCTTTATTTATATGGTCTTTTTACTGTTGTCTTTATTTATATGGTCTTTTTACTGTTGTCTTTTTTTATATAGCCTTTTTACTGTTGTCTTTATTTATATGGCCTTTTTACTGATTCCTTTATTTGCCTTTTTACTGTTGTCTTTATTTATATAGTCTTTTTACTGTTGTTCTTATTTATATGGTCTTTTTACTGATTCCTATATTTGTCTTTTTACTGTTGTCTTTATTTATATAGTCTTTTTACTGTGGTCTTTATTTATATGGTATTTTTACTGATTCCTTTATTTGTCTTTTTACTGTTGTCTTTATTTATATACTCTTTTTACTGTTGTCTTTATTTATATGGTCTTTTTACTGATTACTTTATTTGTCTTTTTACTGTTGTCTTTATTTATATACTCTTTTTACTGTTGTCTTTATTTATATGTTCTTTTTACTGATTCCTTTATTTGTCTTTTTACTGTTGTCTTTATTTATATATTTTTTTACTGTTGTCTTTTTTTATATTGTCTTTTTACTGTTGTCTTTATTTATATGGTCTTTTTACTGATTCCTTTATTTGTCTTTTTATGTTGTATTTTTTTATATTGTCTTTTTACTGTTGTCCTTATTTATACTGCCTTTTCACTGTTCTCTT